GAGTTAAGTTGGGAATATGGATTTGGGGTGGAGTGGAGGATCGAAGTGTGTACCCACTCTTTTCAAATTTTTCAAGGTAAATGAAAAAACATAAAAGAAAATTAAAAACAAAATTACACAAACACACAGTTAAAAAGTGGAGCCTTTCCCCGGAAACAACGCCAAATTTGACGAGCACTTTGTCGTAGTGTGCCTCAAATTAAATTCACTACTAAGGGCTAATACCGTAGTATAGCGTATTAGAGTTCGTATCCACAAGGAAAGGAGCTTTTCGCGTATGTGTAAGCGTAATAAATAAAAGTAAGCGGAAGGGGGAATTGGATATTTTGATAATTGAGAAAGCAAATAAAATACTTAAATGAGTGAAATAAAATATCAAAGGTAATTAGTCTTGGTTTTGCTTTTATCCACTTAATGAAATGTTCGTCGATCCCGGTTATATCTTTAACTATCTTCCTCTCGAATACTCAATCGAGGAGTATATCCAGTTCATCGAGGGTAGTTATTAATAACGAGACGCATTCATTAATAAAACTTACTACCGAATTAATATAGAACACGCACCATATATTTACTCGATAGTAGCAATAAATTCAAGATGAAAACGATTGAAATTGATAACCTCAACACAAGCGGTTTATTGGTTTAATAAATATAATTAATTTCCCTTAGATTATTAACCATGAGACGCATGCATTAATAATCCAAGTTTACTACCGTGAAAAGATCGAACGATTAACAAGCGTATTCGTCGATCGATTCTAGTAATAATTAATATATGAGACAAAACTAGTTGATCCTTTAAGTAATGCTCAAAATATTAAAATGAAATATGAATAGGAATTAATTAATATTCAAGGAAGAATATTAAAGAAGATGTAAATCCTACTATAACTAATGTCAAGATGTTAACTAATTGTCATTTTAGTAACACTCCCCAACATTAATATAGAGGAAGAAAATAAATAATACTCTAACTAATGTCGAGATGTTAACTAATTGTCATCTTAGTAACACTCCCCAACATTAATATAGAGATAGTATTTAGGGAAAAATTAATATTCAAAGAAGAAGATTAAAGAAAATAACTCACAACTTACAATTCATTAAGCTTCAAAGTAGCAAAACCAAGATGGAAAGACTACCTAAATTACAAGAATAAAGTGTATATGAAAGAGGGGATTAAATTGGTATCTAAAATAGGAAGGAAAGAGGTGTTTTTATAGGAGAAGTGAGGTGGTTGGGTCTAAGACATAATCTGATTTCCCCATGTTCACTTGTTTTATTTGATCTCTTATGATCTCCGGGTCGAATCATATCCGATTTTTCACACATCTTTGTCCTCCATGAAGCTTCCTCTTGTCTCCAATGCTCCTTCCTTATGCTCCCAAGCTCCTTCCTCTTCTTTTCATCATGTTTTTGCTTACATGTCAAAATATCTTAATATCTTCTAATTCTTCTTTAATTTTAGAAGATAAAGATTACACCGTAATTGTACAAAAGCTAAGTAAACATAATGTAAAACTATTATAAAATGTGGTGTTTATGTACTTCTAAATAGTACGCATCAACCCTCTTCTTCCAATTTTATTACCCCCCAAATACAAAGAATGACTTCCTCACCCTCTCCTCCCTTCCCCTCCAACAACATACCTCCAAAGTCTTCCCCTTCCATTTCCTCCGAACTCCCAAACATACCCTTAGTTATTTACACATTAAGTTAAAAAGTTAGTCCCTCCATATTTTTGTATTTGCTTATATATTCTGGACTCTAAATCAATCTAATTAAGTGTGTGACCTATAATTGTTCACATGTGATTTACTTTAAACTGTTAATATTAACATACAAATTTGCTAATGTATATATATTCTATTAAAATTAAATCTAAAGTCAAATCTCAATATGTATTTTACACTGATAATAATAAATTTTTAAATAAAATTCAATTGGCTAGATTCCAAAATGTTTTGGATTTAGTTATGAATGGAACCGGAAATTTCAAAAGTTTGGATCAAATATAGCACGATACATACTGAATCAACGTACTGGAGTAAATCAATCTGATTTTTCAGTGTTGACTGAGATGTTTGGCCCTAACAGAAACTTATATTAAGGGCTACAGATAGATTTCAAATTTGCTAATTTGAAACTATTAATTTTTTTTGTAACAACCACTTTTCATAACACTAAAGATCCATTTTGATTTCGTGCGTTGGATTGTATAATAATAAAAATAAGTAAGATTGGAATTATTTTTGTAGCTGAATTGGCTAAAATTATTGTAGATGGTCATTTTAGCTATTTTACATATAATTTGTTTATTTTTACTGAAATATATTTTAAATATAATTTTCCCCATAATTTAGCAATTCAGCCAATTCAATTGTAACTGCCAGAATGTCACCAGTTTCAACCGATTCATCCGATTCATCCAATTTATTATCTGTTTCAACATATTTAGACATACATGAACATTCATTCTTATTTGTTGTCATTACTACGGAGTACAATTTTTCATGTTAATTAAACATATTCGTATGTAGTAACCATCAAATATATAATTAGTTATGAGGGTGATAGTTATCGGGTAACATTCTTGATCAGATTCAACGGCGTAAATATTTCATTTAACATTGTTAAATTATCAGGTGATAGTTATGGTGGTTAAGTCATAGGTATTTTGGTGAAATCATCAGTTAATATTAATTTTATACTTCTACTTCAAAATATAATTTGTTATTTAGTTTATATATTCATGTTTTTATTGATGAAACCGTGATATATTAAATAGAAGGAGCCTAAAAAGATCAGACACAAAGTCATCTTCCAATGCTTTAATTTTTTTTCTTCATTTTAACACCCTACATATTTCATTCAACATTCATTGTTATATATCGTGTGATAGTTATGGCGGTAATAGTCATATGTGTATTGGTGTAATCATCAGTTAATATTAATTATATTATTTCTACTTCAAAATATAATTTGTTATTTAATTTATATATTTATGTTTTTATTGATGAAATAGTGATATACTACGTATCAAATAGAAGGAGCACTAGTAGAAAAAGGCCTTATAGTGACACCAAATTAGTGTCACTGAAAGTTTCTGTGACACTAAAAAAGTGTCGCTGAAAGTGGGGGCTAGTGACACTACAAGTGACATTTTTTTAGTGTCACTACAAGTGTCACAAAATTGTGACACTAAGACATCACAATATAGTGACACATTGGCGACAGAGATATTCGGTGACACTTTTACATCATATATTCTAGTGACACTAAAGTATCACTAAATAGTGATACCTTTGCAACATAACTATTCAGCGACACTTTTACATCACATATTCTAGTGACACTGCGGTATCAAAATATTCTATTTTTCATTCATAAAACATGATACTTTAGTGACACTTTCGTATCACTTTGTTTTGCATTGCTTCCAGACCCCAATTCAATTATGATTTAGAAAATCCATTTCAATTACATTTTAAAACTTCCAATTCAGTATAATTACTAATCTCAGAAACGATAATTAAGTTAACAAATCTCAAAACATAGAGAAATACTTAATAATATTAATTTCAAACTCCAAACTACATTGTTGTTGAAAATTGCATTCTAGGCATGCAAAAACCAGGAAAACTTTAGCCCTGCGCTGCTGGACAAAATATGACAAAAAACCCAGCATGATCCAACACCAAATTGATCTAATCGTTGGTTAATAAAATTCTAAGCAACTACATAGTTTTGTCCAAAAAGTGAGCTGCCTAAACGTCGTACGACATATACATATAGTAGTGGAAGTTTGTTGGAAACGTCAATAACAATTCGTAACACATCGCCCAGCTTCACATCATCAATTCTTCATGGCAGCAGCTTTTAGGCATGCAAAAACCAGGAAAACTTTAGCCCTGCTGGACAAAATATGACAAAAAACCCAGCATGATCCAACACCAAATTGATCTAATCGTTGGTTAATAAAATTCTAAGCAACTACATAGTTTTGTCCAAAAAGTGAGCTGCCTAAATGTCGTACGACATATACATATAGTAGTGGAAGTTTGTTGGAAACGTCAATAACAATTCGTAACACATCGCCCAGCTTCACATCATCAATTCTTCATGGCAGCAGCTTTCATCAACACTGCAAAATGACAGATACACCATATATAACTAACACGAAAAATGTATCATTAAGCTTGTGCAACCAAACTTCAATTCGTAAGTATACCGAACTAACATCCATATGTACAGTACCAAACTTGTGTTCTTCACTTTTGAACTATAAACTTACTTGTTATCAAACTAGCTGCATATGAAGCCCACTCCTCACGTATTCCCAAAATATCATCGTCAGTGTACTCCTTGATTTTAGAGAACTTCAATAAAAAATTACAGGTTATATTAGCACATATTTGAAAGTACAGAAGTAATAAAAAACAAGGATTCCAATTGACTGACATTTTGCTTCAAGAGTTTCACATCCGACGCAATGTCTTTCATATATTTCATAAGAAAATAACCACATTCTATTGCTCCTGCTTGCTTAGGGCACTGCACATGTTAATCCAAACTGCTTAAGGCATTCACTTTAAATTAAAAAAAAATCAGAAATGCCAAATAACACAATATTGGTAAACTACCTAAATTTCAGCATGTTAGAGAAGGCACCTAAATTTCTTTATTAAAGGAAACTACCTAAATTTCAGCATGACAAATTCACCAGGGAAACAATATGTTTATTCCTATCATTAGGACAGTTACACAATTTTTTACACAAATCACATGTGTAAATTGCCTGAATGCACATACCATGACTCGCATCCATTTCAAATTCATCCGATTCTTAGAAGTTGAGGCATGATGAATCCTCACTCCTCTGAAAACAAAAGAGAATGTCATTATTAAAACCAGCTTTGAAGGGGCTATGAATTACCACAAAATAGCACAGATATTGTTTAATTTAATGTTTAACTTAACTGATTCACTATTCTTTCCAAATCTTCTGATGGAGATCCTCCTATAGAATCCAGGTAATACACCGTTTGCATTGCCATGTCAATTGCGGCCAACACCCAATGACCGCTGCATATCACATTTTTGTAAATATGTCATACAAAATAAATGCTAATCTAGCATAAAAAGACAACATTTTACATACGGGACAATAATTTACCCGGTATTGTAGGGAATTAATGTGATCTGTCCACGCAATGCAACGCCTAAAAGATCAGCTATATACTGGGACCTCCTTGTTACAGATTGCACTGATGGCTTCTTCGGTAAGCCTACAGCTGCAGAAGTACCAAACTGAACCAGGATCTCTCCACCTTCATTTACCATTTTCTCGTGCAAGTACCTAGTATTTGAATGAAGTATCAAGTTATTACTGATTTGGGTAGAACAAGTACAAACTACTAACAAACAATGTTTATAGAGTTTGTGTTTTGAACAAAGTCTCAATTAATACCTCGCCCAAATCTCAATTATAGAGTTTGTAACCTCCTCAAAGTTGATGACCAACCGGCAAACATCCTTGTTAAACACAGATTTAGTTTCGAACCCGAATATTTCAGCACTTTAAAGATATAAAAACATTTAACTTAATTTGTATATACAAATAAATGATAAAGTAAGAAAACATATAATTATAGATTTATATTTATGGGAACTTTTTACCGCTGGCAGAGGTTGGTTTTCTTCTTCATCAAACAGCCTTTTCCGAGGAGTATACCTTGATTTCCTCATCGCCGTAGTACTCTATTTACAGAAATATAATTCTTTATTAAGTATAGACCAGTAACAAAAGAGTAGTTGTATGCATGGTGGAGATAAAGAGTAGTTGTATACATGTATGTTTCCTTCATTCCTTTTCTTAGCATGCAAAATATGCAATAACGTTAAATGTACAAGTAAATAGGATATGAAAGTAAGAAAACTTATAAAGAAAACTTATAAATATTGATTATTTAAGAAAACTTTGAACCCTTGGGAGAGGCTGCTCTTCATCTTCATCCATATCCTATTTAACACAAAATATAAGTTAAAACATGTAATCGAATCGGTGATTAATAATACCAACTTTAATGATATAAAAACATTTAACTTAATTAGTATATTCAAATAAATGATAAAGTAAGAAAACTTATAAATATAGATTTATATTAATGGAAACTTTTTACCGCTGGCAGAGGCTGGTCTTCTTCTTCATCAAACAGACTTTTCTGAGGAGTATACCTTGATTTCCTCATCGCCGTAGTACTCTATTTACAGAAATATAATTATTTATCAAGTATAGACCAGTAACAAAAGAGTACTTGTATGCATGGTGGAGATAAAGAGTAGTTGTATACATCTCTGTTTCCTTCATTCCCTTCCTCAAGTTGTGCATTCTCACCATTCATGATTTTAGTCTTCTTTGACTTCAATCTAGGAGATTTCCTAGGAGTAAACAAGGGCTGATCCACCTCTCCACCAGACTTAGCATGCAAAATATGCATTAGAGTTAAATGTACAAGTAAATAGGATATGAAAGGATGTACTAAATATGTGTGCATACCTTTCTCTTTTGCGACTTATTGGCAATACTACAACTGCCAATTTCACTAAAACCATTCGACATACAAGTTTTCATTTCATCAAACTTCTCCAACATCATTTCGTATCTTTTATCACATATTTTCTTTTCTTTCTCCTTCTCAGTTATCATCGCAGCACTTGGCCTGTGGAAGTACGTTGTTGGGGTTATGAAGTGCCCTACACCCTGTATTCTGCTGCCATTGGGCTTTTTCTGAAGAGCAACTGCAAGAACATCATTGTCTTCTACCGGCGTAAATGACCCTTCAGTTACTTTATTCTTCAGCTCTTTCTGCGAAAAGTGGTCAAAACATCATTTTAAATCAATAAAGTGACAAACTACCAGTTAAAACTTTAAAGTTACTTTATTCTTTAGCTCCTTCAGAAACTTTAAATAATAATAATTTACTGTATGTGGAAAGACAAAGTTGAACATATTAAACCTAACAGAATCATATATGACAAAAACACTTCATTTCAAATCAAAAAAACTTACGATTTCATTAGCCACATCCATAACACTAGCATCAAATCCACCTCCCTTTTTTTCCCTTCCCCATAGCCATGTGTCTGATCGATCGATGACTACCGCAGTAGTTCCGAGTTCTTGTTTCTGTCAGTTTTGAAAAAAAAAATCATCCAAACAGCCAAACATCAATTAATAAAAACATAGAAGATGAGGACAAAAACAGTGAAGGAGTTCCATATTAAATGATAAAAGTGAAGGATTTACGTACCTCTGAAATCGACGACAATCGCTGAAGAAGACCTAGCGAGGATTGTCGGTGAGTCGCGCAGCAGATGGAGCGGAGAATCGCGAAGACTGGCGGCCGTCAATCTATACCGATGGACGATGGAGTAGATGGAGTCGATAGCTAGGGTACGGTTCTGGAGTTAGGCCGTCAATCGTGAAGTCTGAAAAGGGCAAGCTCAGCTCCTGCGTTAATTAGGGTACGGCCCGGTTCTAAAAGTTTTTGTATGGAGTAGTAGCTAGGCCGGCCCATTGGTTTGTAATTAGGCCTGCGTTAGTTCACTAGTAGAAAATGCTCCGTATAGTAAAAAAATGTAAGTGTCACTACTTGATACTCTTAGAAAATTGTGACACTTTTGTGTTATTAGTAGCAATATATAAGAAAGTGTCACTGTAAGCCAGTTTTCTACTAGTGGAGCCTAAAAAGATCAACCACAAAGCCTTCTTTAGAAGTATAATTAAATTACTATTGATGATCGTGATGGGGCATCACCAACAGTCATCACAATTCTCTTATGACTATTTTTATTATTCAATTATCACAATTTTATAATAAAAATTATTATGCATGATCGACTACAAAAAGGGCCACTTTGGATGCTCGAGGTTCTGCACTTAGAATGCAAAATCTTCTCTCAAGAATTGTCTTCAAGTAGAAACTTCTCTCTAGAATGATTTTTGAGCCACAAGAGTAATATAAGGAGTTTAGTTCACACATCCAAGAAATTTCAAAAGTTCATTCTAAAAAATATGTTAAGCGAATAGAACATATAAACATTCTTTAGAGGTAAAGATTTTAACCTGTAAAAGATATGATAGCTCGACATAAAGAATGTTGAGAATAGAATGAAGACATGTTTAGATCAAATTAATTATTTGATATAAAGAAGTTAAGAAAGTAAGCTTCCATAAAGAAATAGATTATGACAGATAAGATATGACAAAAATGATAACAATATGACATTTAATGTTACAATGTAGCTTTATTGCAAAACAAATTTATTATAAATTATTTTATCCTCGATAGCATACATATTCAACTTCATAAAAGTACTTTTAACACTCTGGATATTTCATTTAACATTCATTGTACATTAGGGTTTTGATATTTAAAAGTACTAGTAAAACCTCCGGTAACACAAACACATCTTCCAATGTCGAGCTTACACTTCGCTTTTCCATCGATGCATACTAATAATTTTGCACATTCTTGATCAGATTCACACTTCTGTGCTGATACAAGCACGTTCATATGTGAGGAACCTATAGTAAGATAAAAAGTACACAAAGACTAATCAAAATATAATATGAGCAAATAATTGGCCCGAAGTTACAAAAACTTGTTTATAACTAACATAGTATGTAAACTTAATTATATTTTATATCATGAATTTAATTTAATAACTTTATCATATTATCCATATGTACGAGGACAAGCTAACAAAAAATGTAGGTAAATATTTTTAATGAATATTTTCATTTCACGAACCTTCTTAACTTTGTTTTATGCATCAAGCATTGAATGATCAAAACAATATATCAATTGTTATATATTTAAGATAACATTTCTATCACTACTTGCTTAAAAAACTATCAAAATTGGATATGATATCATTGTGTATCACTTAATGATACATATTGCAATACAAGTATTAGGATCCTACATGTAAAATCTTTTTATCAGGTTAGAAAGTACATAAAGACTAATTAAAATATAAAATAAGTAAATTATTGATCTGAGTTACAAGAAATTTATAAATAACTTAACATGTAAAATTAGCTATATTTAGTATCATGAATCTAGTTTAATACTCCCTTTGTGCCGTTGGACTTTGCCATGTTTCCGTTTTTTATTTGTCTAAAAAAATTGCTATTCTCCTTTTGTGCTAATGACTTTGTGATTGGGCTTAATTCTATCGTGTTTGCACAAACCTGAATCACATATATTTTATTTTTCTTATTTTATACCCAACACATAGTTGGCAATGTCCAATGGAAGGGAGGTACTAATAATTTAGTTACATTTTTCTTACGAACATAGATAGGTTAACAAAAGAATTCAAGATAAATACATGCATTGTTTTTTATTCCAATGAGGCTTCTTTGATGTATTAAACATTGAATGATACATAACAAAATAGATTATGTTATAGGTCAATTGTTGTTCAAGAGAACATATCTATTTCTACTTATTAAAAAAACTATCAACCTTGAATATTATATCGATGCGTACCATGCGATGAATAAATGAAGGATGTATATTGTAAGTCCTATGTGATCATGTAACATTTGATTAGTGAATTTAAGACACCATGACTGAGTAAAATTAAAAATGCACCTCGTGTGTGTGTGTGTGTGTGAGAGAGAGAGAGAGACCTAATAGAAATAGACACAAGACAAATGAAAGAACAAGTTTAGTGGAGGTCTTCTCCATCTTCTTTGGCCTTCTTTGTAATGCACGATGTGTGATAGGTGTAAGCTTCAAAACTCTGTAGTAAGAAATATGTTATATATTAGCTATACTACTTTTTGTTTATGTGTGTCTTATACAAAAGTTCCTTTTATATATACATTTGTGAGGGCCCTTCATTAAAATCTTCTAATTTTGTTTTTATTTGGTCTTCATTGTTATCGACGTGTGTTGTCTATATTCATTGAAACAAATATGTAAAAATGAGAAGAATCATTAATATTAATTAATAAACTACTATACAAATATGTTTAGTACATTGGAGAGTACGAACCAACTTCTTTGACCCACATTGTTAAGTATTCTCAATGACGCCTCTTGGGTTGGATGCGAGTATGACTTTGGAGAGAGCAAAGTGGATGACGCATATACGTGCAAACGATTGATCTCTTCACTTAATTTATCTCTTTTATCTTTTATTTATCTTATGTTCTTATATTAGCACCACCCGATAACTAGTGAAGTATATGAGTATGCAGCTTCTAGACAACCGCCTTTCTCGAAGCATTTCGGTAATGGTATTCGTACCATGACCGTCTCAAACAAAATAAAAACGATAATATCAAAAAATCTAAAATTAAACTATTTAACAAAAAATCCCTTTATATTAGTCTTGAACTCCTGCTTGAGTACCCCAAATAATTCTACACTAACATGTTAAATTAATTCAGGTATATACATATATTTTTGGATAAGATAATATAAATTTAAAGGACGTTAATAACATTTGTTTATTCTTTTAAAACCACCCACAATTTTATAACTTCATATATTTTCTTTTTTCATAAAATAAAATCCATATCTTAATCAACAAGTACACAAGTTAATAAAAATACAAGGATAAATGTCTTCACAATCAAAGTTAGGAAACTAAACTTCAACAGACTGGACTGAATTGAAATGAATCTTAGAGAATCAGAAATAGTACAAGCTAATGCTCTAAGTTTGATGACCTCCAGCGTA